ATTAACCCGGTTTATTATAGGGTTGATCGCTGTTACTTTTTAAGGGGAATCAATCTGCTCAGTCCGTTTCGTGCGAGTTTTCCGCGATAGTTTATAAAGATAGTTCTGCTAGATTATGAAAATAACCGTTACAAAGATGAAGGCTTGTGTCAACTATCTATAATTTTCTCACTCTCAGAGTTATATCAAGCAATTCCTGACTTACACCGTGTAACTTATTAGCATTATTGCGTTACAGTCGATCTAGCATATTCGTGCTAACCTAATATTTCGTATTTTACGCCCGCTGCTTCTATCAAACACCCCGTTGGTATTAGGTAGTTGTCGTATTTCCCGTTGCCCTATAGTTGCTTATTAAACACCCTGGTAGATCGAGGGCACTACGGATAATAGGCCAGAAACTGCAAGGCGAAAATAAATCATATCGATGTATCACACAAATATTAATATATATCAGGAGAGCACCTCGTTATTTCTACGATTTGTTACAGATATCAGCCATACATCCGACAATTTTACACTGTCATAGCGTAAAGTAGCGTATCAAACGAAGTCTAACGTTATTAAAGCATCTCATATTAAATCATCGACTCTGCATTTATACACCTGATTCGAATCAAGTAATGGTTAAATTCCGGCAGCATGAAAATGGGTAAGATTAATCATATATACATATATGCGGTGGGTCTATTGATTTATTCCAATACGTGTATGAATTAAGCATTTAGGTTGTTCAAGATATTTTCCGCTAACTTAAAGGAGCCACCTGGGATACAATGGCAATACAATACAAGGTCCAGGGCCAACGTAAGTATCCTGTTTATCTTCTTCTCCGTGTCTTCACTTGCGCCACCGCAATTCGTTTATCATGATGTAAAGATGCTAATGGATAGACGAGACTTGAGACGTATGCGTGTTGTTTAGTTACGTGATGAACCGATAGACCGCCGCGTCAGCGTCGTGTTATTCACTTAAGCAGTACTGCAACCTAATATACAATAGCTGATGCGTTTGTTATCCCTCTCCGCCCATGCGATTGTGTATTCTATTTCACTGACGCCAAACGACAACGGCGGCGGCGGCGGCGGCGGCGGCTGCGCGGGCGGCCCATCGCCGTTGTTTGTATTCACTCGTACGCTGTTCTACTCTAGGAAAGCTAGTTTTACTGTTGGCTCCTGCTGCCCAGTAGTAAATAAAATGGTAAAGTTTAAATAAATATTTAAGTACACGCCTGCGGCCACATGAGCGCACCGAGTATCTGTTAAGTTCTCGTGGCTGCCAGCCAACAAATATGCCAAACCAGCTAGCTTTATTTTGGTGGCAGCAGTGAAATTGATGCCGGTGGAGTCAAAGTCACCAGGGAGTTGAGTTTACGGCCGGCCGACTCAGACGCCCCCATTGGCTTTTGATGAGAGGAAGCTCAAGAAGAACAGTGCTAGCAGCTCACGAAGGAACCGGTATAGCCATCAGACCAGGTCGTAAGGCGAGCACGTAGACATCTATAAGGAGCGGTTTAAGCTTGTTTCAGTTTCAAGATTGATGCCAGGAGACGTAGGAAAGATCTAACGAGAAGCTGTACAAGCTCCACTAAGAAGCTCGCTCTCCGGAAGAGGCCGACTCGCCGCAACGGGTCTTTCGTTACTACAGGGAGTAGGCGAGACGTTGAAAGGAGCTAAAAATGAAGCTTAAGCCTTCTTGGGCAGCATTTGAAGAACGGCAAGATCAACATCTAATTTTTTTCATTGTGGCGCTGATGACTTCTGTGCAGAGTTAGTCCCGGGGAATCGAGACTGCGTTGAAGCCTGGCACTTACTGGTGGGAAGGGTCTTAGCTAATTGTGCTATTTCGCGGTTTGTAAACACGATGCGGCCCACGAAAAAGATGCGACTCGAATTTTGGGCCACACCACGAGCTCGGTCATTTCGAGCCTTAGCAAGGTAGGACATGCCACATAATTCGACCTAAAGAAGTAGCGACCTGTACTTTCGCAGGCAGCCGAGGTCAAACAGAGGAATTTAGTCAAAAACACGTGCGTGCGTACATGGCTGAAACGTGCGCCACCCCGCGAGAGAAAACCGCAGAAGTACGATTCTTTCTACTCTGCTAGAATAAAAGGAGTAATAAGTACTCTGTTAGAGAAATATGAGCATGTACCCTATTGGGCAGAGGGAACAGGTGACTATGAGTATTACCGTGTTAACAGGATGTAGGCCAAAACGACGGAAGCTTATTGTCGCTGAGCTCGTGCGAGGCGCCCTCGATAACGTCGAAGGTTAAAGTCGTGCATGTGATGCGTTAGTTGGCTTTTGAAATAAAGGAATCCAGTCCGACGCAGGAGAATTGCGCAGTGCTTGGTGACGTTATACCCGACCGTTTGAGGATAGCGATAGGGGGGTACGAACACCCCTCTGGATAAGCGTGGCCTAATCGTAATAGGTCGAATATCATAGTTCAGGTATATAAATAAATACACGTCCTCGGCAATATAAGTGTAAGGCGAGTGTTTGTCGGGTGCTCGTTTCTATCATCCAACGGCAAATCTAAACTAGTCCACTATAATATATATATATTCATATGTAGGAACACCGAAATGTTGAGTTTAGGTTGTGGTCTATATACATAGACCTATTCCCTTCTTATTCCATGTGCTTATTTCAATTCGTGTTGCAACTGCTAACATGTAAACAAGTTGTAACCAGAGTAAAAACCTGATGTAAAAAGGAAACTTTTGTGTTCTTTTATAGACTGAAGTTGTGATGGGTGTTCGAGGGAAGCTTAGGCAGGGAGAACGTTGTTCATTTTGAAACATCCCTGTGGGTTAATTAGCTGTAGTAGACTTGTGTTATCCTCTCGTAGAACTAAGTAAGTTTTATAGCCCTTTAATGACGGATGGTTCATTTTTATTCTCTTCTGTCCTGAACGGCGACTTAATAGACTTATTCCACTGAATTTATGTCGGAATCACGTTAGAGGACAGAGTGAAAATTACGAAACAGCCTCCGGAGGAACACCAAAGAAAACTAGCATACGGCGCCGTTTCCCTAATATTAATTCGACAACCTCTCAGAGATTCGAGCCAAATGTCCCAGATAAAATTTATCGACACCCAGGGACGATCCTTTGAAGATATTACTGGTTTCACACACGACTAGTATTTCGTAACAAAAAAAATGTACAGGGTTTTCTGTGTGTTTCCTAGGCATTCTACTTCGAACGTCCTTAAATAGCCGTGGCGCAGTATTGAATTGGATGAGTCGCAATAAAAATTAAATATGAATTACAAATGGACTCCACTAGTCAATAATGGGTATTTCTTTGGAAGCGTGTCTCGAATAAAACGATAATACGTTTAAAATGCAGATAGCAGCTCATTAGGTGTTCATCCATCGACGCACATTTGTCGTAGACATTTATATTTGTGTTCATTTGCAGTCACAAAATTTCTACGAGCCGATGCATTATAGGCTCAGCCACCGGCCGCCTGTACGTACATGGGCCTTCAAAAAGGAACAGAATTTGGTAACAGCTGACCCTTCGGTCAGCTACGGGTTTGGTTTAGCTAGTGATTCGTTTCAGTGGAATCTGAAGTGAAAACACGTAAAGAGATGGCTATTCGAGGGGGCAAAAGCCGACCATAAAGAACAAGCAGCAGACGAATATGGAATAGAAACTTCCTCGCGGAAACGGACATGCGGCGGCAGCCCCGGATCAGCTGATCGTATCTAGTTGAAACCTCCCGAAATTATTGTCCTGGTTCTAGGTTGTGTGTGCTGTTGTTTTCATTAAGCTTTTGCCTTCAGAAAAAGTGCTCTCGTACTTTACTTGTGCAGCTAAAAAAACCCACATCGAACATCGCGTTCGTCACCATTTTCGTGTTGCGAAAAGCGTTGCCGAGACAGAAATAATTATGTGCGAAGATGAACGCAAACGTGCGGTCAGCGTTACTACCTATCAGTATACTACGTCTCAGAATCGGAGACCTCATCTTGAACGACAAACCACGGTCTGTACAGCCACAAGAAGCGAGCAACGATGAACTGTGAATACCCCTTAAGTGAAACGCGGCGCAATCAGTCAGTAGCACGCTGAAGAGCCAGGAATGACCCAGATGGCTGTTGTCAATCGTTCGCATGGGCTAGGAAAGATCGAAAGAAAAAACTTCGTCAAAATGCAACATGGGCTTGTGCTTTATACTCGACATATACATAGATATTTAATTTTTCTGATGCCTTCGGTAGCTGCACCGTAAAGGTTCGCTAGAACACCTAGGCGCAGAAAAACGTAAGTTACAAAAATATAATGCTGCTCATTGATCATGACCTTCGAATGCTATAGGGGTTAATGTTTGATCGACGAGTGTATGTTATGCCCACAAAGTGAATGTGGTCAAAATAAAACGACCTAATTACTAAGTGTAAAACCGTCAGTTAGATACATACGCTGTAACATACTTTCTAGTCTAGAAGATACATCAGAACTGGCGTCGTATTTATATAAATATACGATATCGGAACGTGGCTCACCAAAGTCGGATACAGTCGGTTAGCGACTGTTATCCGAAATAGCTCTTTTGGATATCACAAAGTTAGCCAGTGACGCGCAGCCATTAGTCAAAATTCTTAAGCCTAAGTTATCGGAATGATACGTAATGAATAGAAACGAGCACATGAGCAAAATAGGAATACAGGCCGCACTCTAACAAGAAGCAGAAGTTACGTACGTAAAAACGCAGCAGGAAGGCATAGGAACAAGAACGCGACACGATGTCATTGTGCCGATTCGATCTTGTAAACCGTTTAGCTAACTGGTAACAGTAGAAAAATTAAAGAAAGAAATGTTCAAGCAAACCTTCCTACCAAAATCACCTGAAGACATTGTGTTACGTTAATGTTTTTTGTTTCCTTGCTATTATTGTCTCTAAAACATTTATATATGCTTGTAGTTACGTTATGTCTGCCAGATACCTAAGAGAATATCTAAATAATTGAAACGGTACTCACAGGTAATCGGCGCGACTTTCGGTAATTTCTCCATCTTCATCAAGGAACATGTAGCAAACGGTATGGTTGTCTTGCTCTTTAACTCTTGAATAGACGTACTGCGGACATGCGAGCAAACCCGCTAACAGCCAAATGCACAGCGCGATATTGAGTGTCATCATACGGGACATTCGAGGGTGAAGGGGATGCATGATGGCCATATACCTGGTGAGAGAAACGTGACATAAGCCGTATTGTTAACAATTCTATGTTGAAATAACTGTTATCCTTATTTAGGCAACGTAACAGGTTAGGTCTTCCGACGGCGACTTTTTGTTCAGCGAGGCAGAACAAAGCGAGGCTAGACTTCACGTTTCAACTCCTAGAAGACTTCAAACTGTTCCTATCATTTTGATAACTTCTCCGGCTACCTGCTTTGGGCTAGCGCAATAGGATTTCGTTCATGTCCGACTTCACCAAATCGACACCACTCATGTACGGATTTTCCTATATCTAGTTATATTAATATAACTATCCTAGTTTAAAGTATATATCCGTATTCAACGTGACCTAAGCGTTAGTCCAAAAGGTTCTGATCATTTTTTGGGCAATGCAAGCAAATTTTCGAATTAGTACCAGTATCTTTCAGATACGTTATCCGCTACATACGATCTCTACATAGCACCGTATGCTAATGTCCAGCGATACACCAGCGCTAAGAACGATCGCGGAAGTATATCACGCGCCCACCATAGAGTTCACAAGCTCTGTTGTCAAGACTAGAGAATCCCGACGTAGATGTACTCGATGCGAAAGCTCTGACAATTAGTCAGAGAAAAACGTTATCGGAACACGCACAGTTAACTGGTCTGCATACTCAGACACTTACGTATACGCATCACATTATTAAGTTTATCCTAAAATCTTATGTGCATTTTCCGTCACGTAGGTCTCGATTTGTCGTTCAAAATGTTATTTCCTAATCCGAATTTGATCTAATTTCCACTGAAACTTTGTCTCAATCAGGTTTTTTTAAAGTCCAACGTAATTTTAATTAATTGCCGGACGTCTGCTCACTACCTCATTCCCACCCAGTGACATTTACAACATTATAGCTGGTAGGTAATGTCCACGACAGGTATCACTGGATTAAAATACATGTTTTTTTATAGCGCCCGAGATTTAAATAGCTAACTAATGTCAATTGACGATTGAATCTTTTACGATTTTTAATAAAAAAAATGTTTCAAGTAGGCTTTGATCGCTTAGGTTGATCTATTTCAGTCTTACAAGTTTTGTAAGAACTTCAAAAAGCATCGTACCCATGGCCAGTAGGGCCTTCCTCGATGATCTTAATTTTAAGGCCGGAGGCAGTTTCCAGACTGGATGACGGTCACTGCTCAAACGGCTCCTGGGAAACGATACAGCTGGGCAGTGCATTTGTTAAACTCAGGGTCAATTTAAAAAAACATTTCCATCATGATCATCGATCGCCAGGCTTTGATTAAAGTTTCTCCGGCGCAGAAGCGAAACATGGACGGACGATGCACTGAGGAACACACTTAAACTTCCGGAGCTCGAACAGACGAGCATATCACGCCTTTGTTTCAAAAGTGACTCTATCCGATATAATTAGCCAAGTGTACAATGCAATAAACAATTAAATTGAATTCCCCAGCTGTCGAATAGAGGGTACTAAAGAAATCCCAATACTATTATGGATTAAAAGTATTCATCATTTAAATGCTTTCGGATCGAGTGTACTTCCAGTGACCTCTATAGACAAACAAAAAAAAACACTTCATGATAAACCTCTCGAAACTGAACAGCTGGCTACATAGTGACCCATCGTTAAAACACTAAATGTATAGTAGTATATGGTCCATGTTATTTCGAACGCTACCGAAATCATATGAGGCGTACATTTAATTAAGTTTTTTTTCGAGGAAGAGCATGATGCAGAATTAACATAAACGTAATTGCAATTATAAACTTTCTATTGGATTACGCTACTTTTTACAGCGATAAAAACGACTGATCGTTAGTGCACAGATCGTGGCTCGTGGTAAGGTTCAGACTATTGAAGAGGTACATTAATTGCCTGTACATGTTTCGTCAAAAGTTCTTTATATTAGGTAAGGCAAGCCTTAGTGTTTGGTTATGGTAATTGAGAAACAAAACGAAGAAACGCCCTGCGAAGCGGGGTCAACATTGCTGATAGATTGTAGGAGTTATTTCTGATATGTGCGATATGAAGGTTTACTGGAGAATGAACGAAGTAGAAATTGTTGACGACAGATCTAGACCCGGCTTAGAACTGCCCCAGCCAGATGCCGCTGCTTTCAGCTGCACGCAGCGGACATTCTTCTAATAAGAAGTTCTTCTATTTTGAAAATACAATTGGGACCTTAAGGGACATCTTCGTCTGAACATCAGAGATCATTAATTGATCCAAATAAGAGATCCGGGATAAGAATCTCAGACAGGGTTAACAGGGTCCACAACACAATGAGGTGCATAATAATTTTTAAACGCCTTGAAACCACTGAGGTCATAAAAAGTCAGCTCGTGAGCTTAATATTAAGGTCGTGAAGACAATTAGGCCGAAGGTATCATGTCTGGTTACCAAATATAGTGATTTCCACAGACCACAAAATGAACGTCGTAAATAAGCACTCAGTTGTTGTAATGGCAGACACCGCTAACAGTATCTTTCCGAATATCGGAAATTAGCCTAATGTAGACGTGGAAAACGAAAAGGCATACAGATGGTTGACGGCGTTCAATGTTGACTGGAGGAAGCGGTAGCTTACCTGAACTATAAGATTATTTGAGGCGGGACAATTGCGTAAGGGATATTTGACCGGATTGCTTTGACAATATGATGGCCCTTCCATTTTTAATATAGTATTATATTGTTTTGTTTGCCAACACCCTTCTACCTCGAATTTTTGCTATTTGTTTGGGTGAATCTGCGCGAAAACAGACTCACAAACATCAACGAAACTGTTGCATCAGATATACGTAACTTCGATCTAGACAGAGAAACTGTGCGAAAATTCTCATTGTCTAAATGTAAATGCACCATCGATGCGAAAAGACCTTTGAATATAGCACAAAGAATAAATAAAGCTTCAGCGACTGCTCTTGGAGTGACTAAACTCCGACACTATCGAGATAACGTAATTAATTGTAGATAACTATAATGCAAAATATTCTAAGGACTTCTGTTGAAAAACGTAAGCAATAGCAGGAAAAGAGGCCGCTGAGAAGCCTTACTCATAAGCCGATAGACATAACCTGAATATTATTCGTTTTGTTGAAACAAGGGTAAACGAAAATGTCGCGGATGGCAAGTTTTTAGAAAAGATCATTATGGCTAGGACGGGTGATGTTTTTGTGCCGACGAGAAAACGTCCTATTCGACCTATAAAATAATCAGTATGAATGTGACACATGGCGACTAGATGCGTAGCGCCGTCCAATGATTTCTGAGGGGCCTAATGCTGCGCTAAGCGGAATCTAGGATGAAGGCGATTAACAGACAATTTATAAGAGCTTTAGGGTACACAATTTATAGTCCTAATTGTTGGATGCATAAAGGACTTTCGCACTCAGTAAGGTAAACAGTAGTGTGATGATACTAGTATGATGAGAAAGAGACACTTACTCAGTTAAACAGACTAAAATCTATTGGAGACCTGTTCTTAATAGCCGTTAAGCAGAGCTTTCATTGGTTTCTTTCTGTGCTCGGAGTCGCAGACGAACCGTTTCCCACTCAATCTAATTACCTGAGAATATTTTACGGAGAGAATGATGACTCAGACGGAAGCGCTGACTGCACTGCAATTATAGGACAAGTGCAATCGTTTGACTAGTAAAGTACCTTCGTCGTCGAATTCTCTGCAGATCAGGCGTAATTTGGCACGGAATAATACATGAAGTCAATGCTAGGCATTGTGTTCAAAAATCGTCTCTGTGGCTGAATCCCTACGGGCGTACATCGACCGTAAAGCTAATTCGAGGTTACAGAAAGTATAGATAAGGAGTGCAGGATTCGATATGAGTTAAAAAAAAAAGAGTTTAATGCGAAAAAAACTATTTACTTGAAAGATCAGGCAAGGTCCTGTGAGCATGCACTGCTACCTCTTAAAAGAAAGGTCGGTTTTGAAATACTTGCACTCAAAGACGATAGCCAGTAGACTAGTGCTTGGACGAAAGCTAAGGTAGTCTGCGATTTGTTTAAATAAACTTATTCCACAAGGACTCATGGCCCTTAACTTTTGTCCGCGCCAGCACCGACCGATGTACTAAGCAGGAGGTTAATTCCTTTGATGTGCCAGAGTCTAAGATAGACCATCAGATAAAAGAAACTAAATTGAAATTGATCCTAAAAAAACACTTCAGCAATCTGTTTTGAACAAAAAGTGGCGCCCTTTATGTCTTATTTATTATAAAACGGACCGGATCCGTCATTTAATTGAACAAGGAAATTGAACGAACCCAGATTCTCTGTCGGGCAAAATACTAAAAAATTAATTGCGAGACGAGTACTAGAAAGCGTTGATGTGCACAGACTGACTTCAGAAACGCGTATAAGAAGAAATGAAATACAACAGGTTTTCCTTTAGCATTGTGATAACATGGCTCTATGAGCGAATCGCGGTATAAATATACTTAGAAATTGTGTGTTGAGACCCTTGTAACCACACCTTATTATTTTTGTGGATCGGGTTCTTTAAAAGACCGAACCTTAAAAGACCGAAGCGGGAAGTGCTCCCTAGATCAGAAGGCGATCGTCCACCCACGAGGTACCGTCTTTGTGAGCCTTTCGTTTGTGTTACTAATCGTTTCAGGTAAAATGCATCGTGTACTAGCCTTGTGACTGGTGCGTGAGGCGTATTCTAAGCTCGTCTAAGGAACTTCGAACAACCTCTTAACCTGCCCTGTTGAATTAGGTTTAAGACTAATAATGCATAAGATAATGCACATGGGCTTGAAAGACATCTCGAGAGGAATTACAGCGTTCGGGGCCAACCTTTAATCAAATTTCATTAAAACAAACGATGATATGGAGTATATAGACATACTTATCTCTGTTCACTAAAGTCTACATGCAGAAATTCGAGATCCACTTAGCTCGAAATGGATGCTTTTGTTTTTTTCCGCGTAAAAATCGTAAATGTAATTTTATTGTTGATGTATATTGGTCAGAATATACATGG